CCAAGACACACTGTCTGTGTGTTATTTCAGAACACCCATTCAAAAGTAGACTGTTTCCTTCCCTGACTCGGCACCAAGTCAAGAAGTGGCACATAATGTATTGTTGTGTTTATTATGCATCATTTTGCTGCTGACACTGTGGCCATCAAATATTGGAAAATTTACAATCACGGAGGTCCAGCCATCATGCCTGAAGTGAAGGACAAAGTACTCTGTTATTCTTCTTCAGCTCTGGCCCTTTATGATCAGACAGTGAGCTATATACTTATCAAAGTCAAAATAACCTTCACTTTAGAAAACATACTTGTCCTTAATTGCCAGAATAGGAATGCATAAACAGCCTCTCTCTTGATAATGGAATGGAGGCTGAGTTGATGTAAGTTTTAAGTATTTTGTAATTTTCCAATCATGGTGTGCTCAATTAAGTTTTAATTCACAAATTATGCATGTATTACACTGGCAAAGAGAAAAAATATTTGTAGTTTTAAACTATACAGTCTAAATATGTATGTCATACTTATGATATACACATTTGTGCTACGTTTTTTTCCCCCCCTCCAAGTCAAAGCTGTGGCTGGTAGCCCTATTTCTATGCCCTGGTATACAGCAGTTTAGAGCTTGGATGCTGAAACTGGGAAGATGTAAGTTTGACTTCTTGGTTATCCCTGGACCACAGGCATATGCCTTAGTTTATTCCTCTGTAAAATGGTAATAATCATAATAGTACCTACCTTCTAGACAGGTATATTAAGAATTAAGTGAGATTGTGTACGTTGAAAAATGCTTAGTGCAGTGCCTGGTACATTATGAAAACTCAAGGAATATTTGTCATTATTATTATTATTCCCCTCTTTCTATTATTGTTGAAACCAGCAGTCCATAGAAAATATATATTTCCAAGCCCTTCATGTAAAAAAGGCAGGAATGAAACATTACTAGCATTTTATAAATATATATGTATGTTATGGTACTAGATGGCTTTTGGGAGACATATAGTTATAAGAGCGAGACAGAGATGACTCAGAAACCAGAAGGCAGCACTGGAAATAGTTCTTACTTAAAAAGGCATTTGTTTAATATGCTTACTCAAGATATATCTTACACAAGATATAAGATGTATCTTAGAATTATTTAAATCTATATAGTGGCTATATGAGTATTTAAAGCTATGGATGTTTATTTGGAAATTAGCAAGTTTTAATATGTGAATAGTAACCCCATGTCTACAAGTTGCGGTGTGGCCAAATGTAAATGATGAAAAAAATTAGGAAATGAGCCCTAACTCTATTTTGGGAAAGACAAGGGGAATCTCTGGAATTTGGTCTTTGTTCCTAGCTAAGACCTGGAGGCTACTTTAATTGACAAGTATCTTCTGAGCAGTAAAGTCAGGATGACAGCATTTGCTTTCCTGGGTGGTCAAAAATCCTCTGTAACAATGGTGGGTGAGTTATTGGTGAGTGAAGAAATGGGCTTGAGAAATACTGTGAAATAAAATGACTGGCACCTTCAGTTTCAGAGCAACAGGCCTGTGAGTTTTCTTTGTTGTTATTTTTGCTGTTTTTGTCTGGTGTCATTGTAAAATTAAGTATAGGCAAATGAACTGTTAATAGACTAGAATTTCAGACCAATAGTCTGCTCAAAAACCACAAGACAAGCAATAGAGCTTGTCTGTTTGCTTGAAAATATTTGATATGAAAATTTGATATGAAATTTAAAATTTTGTAATTTGATATGAAAATTACAGTAGGATTATTTTTATCTCTTCCTTTCCCCTCTTTCTTCAGACTAAGTAGAACAGACAGGTAAAACTGATACCAAAATACAGAAGTCTTACCCAAATCCATTGTAAAGTTCCCATTCAGGTGTGGATTACATAAAAATTGCTTGGCTTTCACAAGAACCACCATTCTGAGAAGAAGAACCATGATGCATATTAATAGGTGAAGAGGGCTTCCTTGGGAAGAACCATAAACCTTGGAGGCCATAAACTCTGGAACTGGATTCCAGAATGATAGAGCTATGGAAGCCCAGAGGGTAGGCTAAGTATGTGTTGGGACAAGTAAATAAAATGTTTTGCCATGAATTGCAAAGTACAGTCAATTAATTGTCTACTGGGATCCACGACCTCCATTCCTGCCTACCTCTTGTAGCCTACTTGTTGCTTTCTGAGTGTGACCCTGTAATTAATGAAGAATATAAAATTTAATGAAATGGGATAAAATTTTGGCTGGATACATTTTTTTTTAAAGTTTTATTATAAATTTTAAAGGGATGTCCTTGTCCAGCATTTTGAACTGAACAAGAAACTGTCATCAGATTAATGTGTTCACCTTTAGAGGTGCAGCTCTCTCCAGAAGGTCATGCCTTGTGGACACAGCTGTCTTGTGGAGCTGTAGGTGAAGCCCCACTCTGGCTTTTTCTAGGTATACCCAAGAAGCCTAGAAGCAGTCAAAAATCAGCAATATGAAAGTCAGTTTTCCAAATGGCCTCCTTCTTTCCTGACATTGCAATCTTAAAATGCCTTTGTCTTTCACAGTCTGCATAAGGTCACAAAGGAGTGTTTGTTACCAGATTTATGGCTCTGATACGTTCACATACACACTGGGTCCCCACTAGAGGCTCTGCCAAGCTCTGGGGGCCCCACATAGGCCTCCCACAGTTCAGTCGCTGCACACATGTTTTCTGAGAGAACTCGGAGCTGCTGTCTATGTGCTCATTTTCAGTCTATAAATCCTCCACACTCCAGTGACTGTTTGCTAGGCCTCCAGCCAGTACTACACTGTATGTGTGAATACCACATTTCCCGAGAGACAGCTGAGCGTTCCTGCCTGGTTGGTGTGGACAAATCCCCAGGTGCTGAATGGGAATAGGCTTTAGCTTGTACAATGCTTTCCTTTGACTGGTGTCTCAGGGAAGAGCCCAGGCTCTTTGTGTACAGATGCATTCAACTGCCCCAACAGTGGGTATGTGAGCGTTCTGCTTTACCTACAGAAGAGGGTGACGTGTTTAATTTGCTTAGGGTTTAATTAAGCTGCAGACACTTAAAAAATTTTTTCATTAGAGTGATTGGGCTTCCCACAGTTGGTGGTAACACCGTGAAGTCATTTTCTCTAGAAAGTGAAGGTGTTGCTTTAATAAAGAGTTGACAGTTTTGGATGAGTCCTTGGAGACAGAAGAGAGAAAGGCCACATAGTAGTTTTAATCACATGATTCATTTTTCCACTGAGATTTTAACAATTAGTAAGCCCTTCAAATTTAACATTCTGAAAACAGAACAAGCCAGTAGGGAACTTGGGGTTGAAGGGGAAGAAATAGATCATGCAAATGTGTCCCATCATCAAGGTAGGACTGGGAAGTTAGTGAAGTGGAGGTGAGGGGTGCTAATCAAGGGGAAAGTGGGGCATCCCTGCTTTGAATTCCTCACTTAGACATAGAGATTGTACCTGTGCAAGCTCAGGAGGGCAAGAAGAGGGCGGAAGGGAAAAGGGTCTCCAGGATAGATCCTGGACCTATAAATAGTGCTTGCTACTCTTGAGTAAGATAACAGAGCTCCCCTCCTACTTCATTCAACAAGTCCTTATAGATTTCTTGCTGTATGCCACAGATTGTGTCCTGGAGATCCTGGCTGGTCATTTTCAGTCACATCTGCATCTTTATTAAATGTTCCCATCAGTCCACATGTGCTAGGTGCTCCAAGAGAGTTAACTGGAGCCAGCAGTGGCCTCCCTGGCTTTTGCAGAAAAGACGAGATGCATATACTTCTATTTCAGTGTTCAGTGTTTAGAAATGAGCAGTCTTGCATTGTTATGCAAATTCCAAGGTAATCGAATGTTTATAAATTACAATAGCTGCAATTACTCACAGGAAAATTTGTTGGACTTAGTTATGTTACTGTGTTCACTGAAGATTATAGCTTGTTACTTTCTGTTCTAATATACTTTACCCACTTAAGTCTTGAAATAAAAATGAAATGCTGGTGTATCATTTTGCAAGAAAGATATATATGTTTCTTATATTGCATTAGACAGGTTAATATGTTTTTGCTTTTTATAACAGGGAACTTTATTAGCATGATGAAATTAATGCATGCAGGGCAATATCTTCCGAACCAGTTGTTACCAGTAGATAAAGTTTGATGTGGTAATTGCTAACGAATGTTGGATCAGGGTTATTACTGAAGTAAAATCATTCACTGTGGGATGATCAGAGCTACAATATTGTAAATGACAAAAGAGCCACAGCCACTCTCTGGTTTTAATTAGCTAAAGAGGTGTCCTGGGTGGTTTCGAAAGGCTTGTCTTATCAATATTGTTACTTAGAAATGATTTACAATATTGCTACAGGGTCTGCTAATGTTTCTATCATTAAAGGTCTATCATTTCCATTAAGAACTCTGTTGTTGAAGGCTTTGCAGGCTTGGCTTATTTATTTCAATACTGTGTGTATGTGTGTGTGTGTGTTGTGTGTGTGTTTGTGTTTGTGTGTGTGTTTACAACATTTTCTAAGGTCTTGAAATTCCAGGAGTGGCTGTTCATGGATGTACTATTATTGATCTTATTTATTCATATGACAGTGCCCAGCTTCAGTCCCATAAAAAGATATAAGCCTAATTTTTTCAGAGGAAATGACTTCTCTGCTTTATCCATTGATTTTTTTTTTTTTAATGTTTGAAAGTGAGTCTTGATTACCTGAAAATCTGCATGAGCAGATTTGATGTAATATACCTTCTACTATTTAATTATTTGGTTTGTTCTAACAGTAATGCTTCAAATGTTAATAAAATTTCCAGAAATGTTTATTATCTAAGGTGATCCTAAGTGAAATGTTCATGTTTTCAATTCCTGAATAAATACAAATGGAAACATTTTTGAAGAAAATAAAATGTTCTTTAAAAGGTTACTGCTTACATTACAATGACTACATGCCTGAGAAACCTGTTTGCTAAGTAATATAATCATGTTTCCTGGTCCCTGCATTTATGCCATTACATTGTTTTCCAGGTGCAACTGAAGGACTATGGCTATGGTAGCTGTCCACGAAGACTGGCCGTCGTATTCATGCTTGTGCAGCCCTTGGACTTTTAGATCTTCCAGGTACCCATACCTCACAAAGGTCTTTTTCTAGGAGAGTGATAAACTTTCACAGAAGTTTTGTTTTGAATCTGAAGGGACCATATGAATTACCTATTCTTATTTATGGCACACAAATGAGAAAAATGAGACCAAAAGAAGTTTAGTGTTTGTCTAGAGACAAGTATCTAGTTATTCAAAAGACCATGAATCGGAATGCAGCCTGGCCTGGCAGTATTTCTTTGTGATAACTGCTTGTTATTGCATAGATGGGAAGCTTGCCTTGTTATTGCATAGATGGGAAGCTTTCTAGTGGTTTTCAGAGCTCTGAAGGCCATGAGAGATTCTTTTGCTCTGTTGCTAGCTTTCCTTGATACTGACATAGTGTTACCATAAAACCTCCTGTTTTTCTTCCTGGTTCTCAGGTAGAACCCTCTCCCAGAAAAGGAATCTTATTGGCAGTATATTGAATTTAATGTGTATATTTTCATATAATTTTTTTTCACATTTGGAGAAGCAATAGAACATGACTAATTTATTTTTCATAAAACAGATACTGTGTTAAAATGATTCTATGAAAAAATCTGAAAGAATACATATGAGGGAATATATACCATATTTAGAACTACAATAGTGAGCTAATTTCCAGTTAACAGACGATATGAAACTAAATTTTCATTTAGAAACAGGTTAACTCTAATTACTAAACTCAGTTTATTTTCACAAGAGATTTAAAACATCTGAGTCAGAAACACTTTTATTCTTTTAAAATATATTTATGCTTCTAAATGCCAGCTGTTGCAAAATATGCCTTCCCATTAAATCTCTTATTTACAGTTACTAGAAGTCACACATGTTTCAGACCAGTCACAACAAAGTTTTTGAAGAAGCATCACTCAAAGGTTTTTTATCAGTTGTAATAGGGACAGATATAGCATTTGCATGAATGTGATGCTAGCTTCTGTAAAAACACTTAACGTGTGTAGTGGTCCAAATAGTATAGAAATGTATTCCTCATTCAATAAAGTACAAAATAGATATCCTTGGCTTATGAGTAGCCTTCTTCCAAGTAGTGAGTCAGGAAACCTAGTCTTTTTCCATCTTGCAGTTCTATCATCTTCAGTATGTGGCTTCCCAAGTCTGTGTGCACACTCTGTGGAAAGAGTGGTTGGAGAAGTCACATTGACTCCTCAACCACATTGGCCCCATTGCCTCACACACATCCCATTGGCAAGAATGAGTCACAGGGTCCCACAGGGACTCAGGAATGTCATTTTTGGCTGGGCAGCTGCTACTCATTAACAACTCTGTATTTTGGAAGGGGGAGCAACGATTTGGCAGAGTCAGTCTCCTCTGCTATAATAACTCACCCATAATCGACACTCAAGACACATGATAGTTGAAGACTAGTTTTAAAAGTGAAGGTTTGGATAACTTTGTTCCGAAAGTGCAGACATCCGTATTCATTCATATGACAGTTTTTGGCAATGGCTAAGAGTGGATTGACTCAGATGGACAGCCTAGGCATTCTAATTGTGTGGTGTCCCTTCAAACTGATCATCTTTAAATATTTGTTTAATAACGATTTAGCATGGGTGATGAACACTGTTTACTTTTAAAAATGTACACTTTTTATGTTCAAAGTATGAGCCTTACTTTATATAATATCTAAAGTAGATAGCCTACTAGAAGACATATATATGACATATACAAATTTGAAGGCATATATTAAAGTATACATATTATGTACATACTTTTATATATGTCTATAATAAAGTAAATTAAATAATTAATTAACTCAGTCCAAGGTCAAAATTCCACACCTTCATTATTCAGTTATGGAATTTGAGCAGGTTGTGACTGCCGGTTTACTTGACTCTCAGTGAACTGAGATGAACTGTCCGCCTTCAGGGATGGTGGCTTTCTGCAGGACGGTACAATTTACATCACAGAAACCTCAGAGATAATGGGTCCAAAGGAGCTCAGAAAAGATTTTCTTGCCACTTAAAGGCACTATCAATTTGAGTGCAAGCATTTTCATTCCAATTTAGTAGTTACTATAAAAAGATGTTGGAAATCCAAAAATAACTTGTACCATAGTTTCGTTTCATCCCAATTACACGTTAGAGCCAACATTGCCCACGAGTTGTTCCAGTTTGGCACTTCGTCACTCTTTGCCAAATTATTCCACAGGTTTGCAACTTGACAGGCTTCTGGAGAGGTATATTACTTCTAGTACTGACAAAGATAATCAATGCCTGAAAGAACTATGAATCTGTCTCTACATAGCAAAGTGATGCCTGGAAGATGTTTTGATGTCACTGTTCTCTTGAGGTCATAGGGTGCCTAAAGTTGTATTATGTTGGCTGTTTACATTCTCTAAAGCAGTGCTCCTTAACTGTGGTGGTACATTGGAGGACTTTGTATAAAGAACTGATGCCCATCCCTCTTCCTGTCCCAGTGGCTCTGATTATCCTGAGGTGAGATCTGGACATTGATAGTGGATTTTTTTTTGTTTGTTCATTTTATATATATATATATATATATATATATATATATATATATATATATATATTTTAGTTATCTTCTTTTAAAATAGTTATCTTCTTTTAAAAAATTCCCCAGGAAATTCAGCAGATATTGAGAGTCCCTGACCCACGGTGATGGCTTCTTGTACTATTGTTTAATGAAAGGAGATCCTTTTAGCAGAAATCACTCATGATTCAGCAGTCTAGAAGCCATCATGAGAAAAGAGTTGGAGTGGATGGTTTTAATGCAGATGGTCTCAAAACGATAGCTAAGTGTATCTTTCAGATGTTCTGCTCTCGCCCCTGGGGACTAACTCTAACATCATAGCTTATGTTCAGCCTGACACCAGGGAACATATGAAAAGCAAATACACTCCAGCACTCCAGCAATGTATATATTACCACAAAACATGAGATATTAGTTATTTCTCTTTAACCAATACGATTTAACCAATATTGAGTGGCCTATGCTTATGTTATAAGTGAACACTTCATCATTTACTCATTCATTGATTCAAAATATTTATTTATCCTTTCATGTATCAGGCACCAGAACAGTCCCATAAGCCAACACATCAGTGTCTTTATAACCAAAATTTACCATGGAAACAGGCAAATCATTTTTATAGAGTTATTGTTTGTACCTCAACATCTTTGAGACAAATACTTTAAAGCGTATTTTTGGATGGATTTTTTGACAAAGGAAATCTTCCAGTTTTAACTTTTTGGGACAAAATGTATTTATGAATATTGGCTGTAATTATTCTAGAGTTTCTATTATAATTACAAAATTCTGGTGCAGTGGTTCTTAACCCTTTATACTTATGACACACAACTTCCAAATCCGAAATTTCTGGCTGTGTACATGAAGGCAATAAAAGATGAACAATGGATAAAAAATCAGTACAGAATTATTTTTAATAGAGAAATTAATGAAGCAAACCTACCGCAGAAGGAGATTACTTAAAAGGTAAGGTACCTCCATGTGATGAAATAGTACAGAATGGATTAAAGTTTTTTAAAAGGAAATGGAAAAATGCTCATAATATATTACTTACAGAAAAAGCTGAATGTAAAACAATAGCAGTAGTATGATGCTTTTAAAGATGTATAAATATTCACATTGACTGTTTTTCTCCATCCCTGCGCACTTCAGGGTGGTAGCAAAGTAAAGGAAAGCAAAAGATTGCCTCAGTTGTCCTGAATGCTTTCCCAGGCACAGGGAGTCTGAGTATCTGCTTTTCTCAGACTTGAGTTTCCAATTTCTGGTGATTTCTTCCACATATAATGCTGGAATATCCTGGGAGAAACAATATGGATGTGTCACTAAAAGATGTACTACCTGGCAATGACTCGAACCAAAGTGATAGGTCATCAGCTATTTTATTTAGAAGTCATTTCCACATACCACATCATGCCTGGTGGCACAAACACCAGTGAAATCCCACAATAACTTTTTCCCAGGGGAGACTCACTAGACCATACATACTCCCATTCCTTATTAGTGTTTTTCTCATTTGTGGTTGGTTTTTCTCTTATTTAACATAAGGCGGTGGTTCTCAGAGTAGGGCTCCCTGGACCTGTAGCATCAGCATCACTTGTGAATTTTAACATTTTAAAATTTTTACTAGTTAGGAAGAGGTCCTTCTTTCCTTTTGAATTGTCCTAATACTGTTTTCACTCAAAAATGTATAGGATCATGATAGCTAGAATGTGCATATCTCTTAATTTATGCTGGACACTTCTCTAAGTGCCTTCCAAATTTTAACTTATTTAATCTTCATAATCACCATATGAAATAGGAACTACTATTTCCCTATTTTACAGAAAAAGAAAATTGAACACCAGGAAAATGAGTAACTCATCCAAGATCATACAATTATAAACATGCTCATAGGAGAAATACTGGAAGCAAATATAAAATGTTAGCAGTGATCATATCTGATTATTTCCAGGTATATGACCACAGATGGCTTTAAATTTTTTTATGTGCCTTTCTATATTTTCCAAAACATACATATTACAGTTGTTATCAGAAAAAAATCCAAAATATTTTTGAAAAGAACTAAGACAGACATTTCAGAGAAGACCAGGAGTAAGGGCGCACCAGAAAAGAAGAATAAAGAGCTGTAATTGAAAAAACTTCTTCCTCATGATTGGATCCTGGAAGCCACTGAGCAAGTGAGGAAATGAAGAGTCCCAGGTACGGGGGCACTGAGCATCCAAACTGGAAATCCAGGGATGGCATGACATTGAGCAATCTGATCTTTCTAATGTCCTAATAGGTTTTGCAACTTATTTTCTTTGTAGGTAGCAGTGGATAAGTGCATTTAATCACAGTATTTTCAGGAGACATTTGATGGAACAGAACCCAGCTCTCTGTATCCAGGGTATAAAAAGCTTGGCCGTAAAATAATGCCCTGACTCATCTTTAATTAGGTGTGCAGTGTGGGAAAGAAATGAATGTCTTCCTGTGTATGGGAGGTATGGAGAAACCGCTATAAGTTTTCAAAATAGTCCATTATTAACAATCTGCACTGAATCGATTGGTACCCACAGCTCAGTCAATGTTTAAACAAGCTGGACAATAGCTGAAGTAATTATTTGGGGTAAATTATTGCCATTGTAAAATGTAATCAATGTTTTATTTCAACAAAAAGAGATCTTTTTCTTGATTTCTCTTTTCTCCCCACCTTTCCTCAGCTTTATCTCCCTACCAGAGGTCTGGAAGAAGGATTTTTTTGTTTTCTCCCCCATATTGGCAAGAGTGCTTCAGCTCCATCTGAACATAGCAAGACAGGACACATCTTGTAAAGGTTTTCCATTTTAATATTCCGTAATGACCAATAATGAATTCTTTATAGTTAATCTGCTGTTCTCATGAAAACAATTTAGATGGTTAAAAAAATCAATCATTAATGAGCAGTAAATGACAGCTCCCCAACAACACAGCTGTATTTTTGTAAAAGTGATTAAACATTGTCTGCATTCATAATTGCATGCTTAATAAGAATGTTGAGCACTGAGTCAAGCATTGTTGCTAATGATGACAGATTACGATGCTACAAATGCTTTGGAGTTATGGGGCTAAATTTTCAAAGGCAGTCCCTGGAACAGAATGCACACAGACCCACTAAGTATTCAATTTGCATGGGCCATTACCAGGTTTGTGCATGGCATTTGGGAGCTTTGCAGTTGAGACTCTTTTGAAAATCTGGCCCATTATGACAGAAAGCATCTGTAATTAACAGTAACTGATCTCCCTCTGCCTAGCCTTGGTAAAAGGTATAAAATGCTCTGTGTGTGCTTTCTTGGAACCCAACACCCCATTGATGAAAGGCCCTGAAACCTGAAAGGAAGGCAAAAAGAGTCTGTAGGGGCGTAATTCAGCCTTACAGGCAGATGTGAATATCTTATCAGCAGGTAAGAGAAAACAGGCAAGTCATTCAGAAGAGGACTTGGTGAAGTCTCATCTCTGAGCTCCTTTCACGTATTACTTGCCCCTCTCATTTTGGCCATAAATATTCTTGCTAAACCTTGGAATTCCTGTATTATTATTCATAGGATTCATGGGACTAACTACTTAAAATATGAGATTGTCCCATGGTCCAGCGTGGATTAACTGTGCTGAGGTATGAATTTTAATCTTTATGAAGCTATGAGCAGAGCGAGTCACTCAGTGATTGAGCAAGCCCCATCTGCTGCTCAGTTTGTCTGTATTCTGATCAGGTATGAGGCAGTTCCATCTATGAAGCTATGCATAGCTACAATTTATGAGAAAAATTGCATGCATTTAGAAAATGTATGAATTTCCTCAGATTTTTTCTTGGAAATATCTTGTATCTGTCTGGGATGTTGAGGATCTGTTGTACTGTTTGGTGACATTATATCTTGTGCTGTTATTTATTGCAGTTTATATGGATATCTTATTTTGGTGATACCTTGGCTTAGAGAACAGGGATCATTTGTATTATGCCTTTGACTTCTTCATAGCATCTCACTCACTGCTGTTTTTTCTGGATCAGCCATCCCTTGTCTGAGCAGAGGATTATAGAATCTCATAGTCTGCAAATCAGACTGGCATATGGTTAAGAACATGGTTTTAAGATGCCTCATTTGAAATATCACTCTGTCACCCAGTAGTGACATTCTACATCTCTTAAGAGCCTTACTTTTCCTCATCAGTAAAATAGGAATAAAATTAGTAGTTACATGTGAGGGTTTTTTTGTGAGGATTCAGTGAGATAAGTGTAAGAAACTCTTAGCAGAGTGACTAGGACATTATATGTGCTCAATAAAAGTTTGTTGTTCTTGTCTTTGGTTGTTAAGGCCACAGCAGTTAAGTTCTATAGCTGAGGCCAGAATCTCTTTAGCTGGGCTGAGTGATTCTCCACAGAACTAAGGGGTAATAAGGTGCTGCCTTTAGTCCCCATGATCAATGACTGTAGTAGGCAAATGGTAACCTATATATTATGGGCTGAAATGTCTTCCTCTTACACCTAGGAAGGTACATGCAAATCATGTAGAGGAGAGAGAGAGAACACCAGCTCAGTCAGACAGGTCAACCCAGAGGCATGACATGTGTCACAGTCAGAGGGTCCTACAACCCTAGTCCCACCATCAGAAATCACATACAGAGCTGCTACTGTAGGGCTACATTCAGGACTCGGTTTGACATGTTAATGAGGCAGAACATTTTGGAGCCTATGCTGGCAACAGAAAGACCTGAGATGATGCTTCCTCTGACTTCTAACAGTTACTTCTGCTCTCTGAGGGGGCCCTTTCTGTTTCCAGCTCAAGCTTCTTGTGCCTCAGTCTATGGGCATTGGAATCTTTCTTAATTAAATAGCAGAGCCTGCATATAATTTAAACATTGTACAGGCTCTGGTACTGCCCTGCCCCCTCTTCCGCTTAGGTTGTTTGTCCTCTAAAGACTTAGGACCCTCATCACAGTCCACAGTCAAACAATATGTGCAGAATGAAGGTGAACCATGAAGGGAGAATGGACTTGTGTTTTTGGCTTAGTTCTTTTCTCTTCTACCCCAGTACCCTTTGGATTCTTTATTATAAGAGCAGAAATGTAAAAAGTATAAGATAATTAAAACTAAAGGCAGAAATGCAGGTGTTATAAATTTTAAAGGCACTCATGAACATTCAAGATTTTTAAATCATTTAAAAAATGAAGTGATAGAGGAGGGTATATGGCTTCTGGGATTTAATGAAGAATTTGAAATTATAATTTTCATACCTATCTTTGATTTAATGCCAAATGTCTTCATCTGACAAATGAAAACTGTCTGATTATTACCCACTTTCTCTTTGCAGATGAAGAGTAGTAGCTGCTAAATTATTGTCAAATATTTTGGAAATATGAAATGCTGTACAACAATAGTCATTTGCATGGTAATGGGCAAGAACCAGGTCTTTATACACCATTACCACAAGTAATTAACAAGAAGATTAGGCACAATAGTCTGTGTTTGGGAGCCATGGTGGAGACTGGCAAATGCGTAGGTTTGCAAATCTCCTGTTTCTCTGATTGATAATAGAGTAACCCCATGTGTTGTTATACGTGGATATTGCTGCATGAGACAGAACTCGTGATTTGCTGCAACCCAGTAGTAACTCTGCTCTTTGAGTAGCCCAGGCAATGTGCCTCCTTAGCCCACTGCTCCCACCTCATTTATCCTGCTCCCTGCTACTTCTTGCCTTTTTTAATATTGTCCCCCAAGCTAAGAATGGGCCCTTTATTGTTCTTAGTTATGGCAAATTCTACACAGAGAACCTATCTCCAAACAGTTCAATCTTGTGCTACAACCTCTAATATGGCAACAAAACCTATAAGACTAACTGTGGACCTGGGGCCAATTTTTTTAAAACTCTGAGGCGCAGCTTCCTGATCTGCAAAACAGTGAATATGTTATTTACTGCTCAGGATTAATATAAGATTAAATAAAATAATGTGAACAATTAAGGGTCAGTAAATTCTCTCGGTCTGTGGACTCTCTTTGACTAACGGGACCTTTGATGACACCTTCTTTGTTTGAGTTCACAGTATATTTACAAGATTTCAGTGTGTGACACACACTTTGATGCTTGAACAAGAATGGTTTCATGTTATCCTCTTACTGTGTTATGTGTATAAAAAGCCCACAGCCTGTGTTTCTCAAGTTGCCCTCTGGAGAGCAGAGGAGACATTTTAATTGAACATCTACTGGGAATCTAAGTAAGGCATAGAATCAGATTTTTAGAGCTAGAAGGGAATGCAGGGATGTATTGAATTTTCCAGATGGCCACCACGGTAACTCCTATCCTTCGTGATTTCCTACAATGTCAGGAAAGTGATCAGAAAGTGAAGTCAAATTCTTCTCCCTTGAATATGACTGAACTTGTAACTGCTTTAACCAGTAGAGTGGAGGGGATACTATATGATTTCCAAGGTTATAGAATGCCATGCTCTTTCTGTCCTGTCAAACAGGATCATCACATTTTGGAGTTCTCAGTCCCATGTACAAAGTCCAACTATCTGAGGCCACCATGCACTGAGGATGTCCAGTCCACCTGGAGAGGCTACCAGATATGTGAATGAAGAAGTCATCTTGAAAATGGATCTTCCAACCCATGTTGTCTAGCTATGGCTGTTTGAGTCTCCTCGTGCAAGCCCCAGGCATCTTGGAATGGAGAAGAGCTGAGCCACTGTGTCCTCTGCAAATTCTCAATCCACAAAACTCATGAAAATAATAAAACGATTGTGTCTTTGTGCTACTAAATTTAGGGGAAATTTGTTATTCAGCAAAGATGATTAGAACAAGAGATCACAATTTGACTACCGTATTCCAGAAATGACACAGATCCAGAGAGGTTAAATAAATCATTTTATTCAAATGAAGACTTAGTGGCAGAGTCATTCTTAAGTACTGGTTTAAAGATCCATGCGCAGTTCACTACATCATGTACCTTCCTAGCTCTTGACATCAGCTCTGAATATTTGCATAGTTAAGACTTGACTTCAGGCTTCTGTACTCAAGGGGCATACATTCTAAGAAGTATTATGCTCATATAGTAAGCTATGAGGAAATTAATTACATTATAAGCCTAGCAGAGAGGATTCTGCTGCAGACTTTAGGTAGTGAGAGATATTGGAAACTGCCAGAGAAGGGACAGAGATGAAGAAATGGAAATAGAGGGGAAGTGAGAGAGTTCTGCTGAGACTGAAGCCTTGCAGGGGAGGGAGGGGTAAGCAGCAGAGCAGGGGCGAAGTCATGAGACACTGGTGGAAAAAGAAGGGTTGAAATTGCTTCAACTCTATTCAGGCAAACAACTGTGTGTCGACAAGAAGAAGGCTGATAAGCAGCTTTAGACTGTCTATAGCTAAAGGGGAAGTGAGAGGCGGGCAGCATATGGAGCAGGAAAGAACAGAGGGAACCAGCATGAGCGGAGAGAGAAAGTTGAGGAGAGAGATGGGGAGCCCAAGCAAAGAAATAGGAAAACAGTTGGCCCTAAGTGTCCAAAGAAATTAGGAAGAATTGGAGACAGTGGGAGATGATGAGAGAAATAAAACCACAAAAAACTTCAAGGAAAACATTTGGAATGCAAATGAAAACAGTAAAGTGTGTGTAGAAGAAATGGAAAAAATGGAGATTGAACCACATTAGAGGTAAAAACAGTAAATTGATTCAATTTTTGATAAAAGAAAGCAGTTTGGATGAGAGTTTAAGCAACATGACACGTTTTGAGTTACCCGGTTACCAAGAGGCCACATTGTATTTCTAAGATGTTTCTAAACATGGAGTTTGATTTGTCTTTTTATTGTAAGATAAATTATACATACAGAAACTTAAAAAATGGATAGACTGGGAATTGGATTTTCTTAGACTCCTAGAAGAAAAAAAATAGCATTAAGGAGTTAAAGTCTCTAATTGTAAGGAAGCAATAAATTCAATAGAGGAGTGCATATTACTGATGCCTGTATTTGAGACCAAAGAAGACCAGAAACACCAGATAGTAATTTGTCCATTGGCATCCTGGAGCTCCTTCCAGTATGTAGAGACCTTCTAGCCTTTATATTTATTAGTGCTTCAAGCCTGAAATATTGATAGTGATGAAGAAGAAGATAGCAATGATGATGTTGGTGGTGGTAAGGATAATGTTTTTTATAAGCCAGACATTGTTCTAAGTGCTTTATATATACATTATTATATATATTATGTATTATTATATATTATATAGTATTATGTAATATATTAAGCCTCACCTACAAAAAATATATATTATAATCAAATATCATAATATATAACATATTATTATATATTAAATATACAACATTATTATATATTAAATATATAACATATATAATTATATATTATATCTAATATATTATATGTTATATATTAGATATATAATATATTAGATATAATATATATATTAACTGATTTAATTACCCAACAGTCATTGGAAGTTAGCTAAGTACCTTTAATTATGATCATTTTATGGATGAGGATACCGAGGCACAGTTCTCTTTCTTTCTCTTCCTTATATCTATGTCTATGTTTTTCTAAGTGATTGGGAAAAATTAGAAAGAAAACCTATATCATAACCAGTAATAAACAGCTGTCTGCAAGATCCTGGTCACCCTCAGAACCTTGTCAGCCCTACTGACCAAGGCTCTGCTTAGCAGTGAATCATATGTCTATCTCCATGTCCCACATTCCTAGTATATTTGCTTATTAATGGAAGGATTGCTATTAATAGAATGGTTGTTATTTCTGATTGTGAGAGAGCAGAACATTATAAGCCCACCTAAAAACAGGGTTTTATTCTTCGGTGGCTATCTGGTGTAAAGGACAGAATGGGAAACTTGTATTTGAGCATGGCTTTGAATTGAGTCTTGGCTCCACTTCTTATTATCCATTTGACTTGGCCAAACTTATTTATCATTGTTTTATTCATTTCTAACATGGAGATAATACCATTCCCTTTGTAGGGTCATTGTGAAGATTAACTGAAATGAGAGATATAAAAAGCCTGGGAAAGTGTTTGGGAATTAGCAGAGGTTCAATACTTGTTACTTATACTTTATTATAGAACTGATAATTGGTGATTATAGATATTCAATATTAATAAAATAAAATGTTGATAAGACCTTTGTAGGTGAGGCCTAAAATTTCCTACTTTCATAGGAAAGTTTATATGTACAATTATACATATACAATAAGTTTATATATGTATCATTATATTCACATTTAATTGTACACATATAATTATACATACATATACATATATACATATAATAGGAAATTATATGTGTATAATTATATGCATGTATAATTATATACATGTACATGTATAATTATTAAAATAATTAATAGAAAATTGTGTATATATATTTTTTCCCTATTTTCATGTGCATATCGGCTGTACATCTCCATTATAAAATGACCCCTGGATGAAATATTGGAAAATTGTCATGAGATTTAGGCAAATAAGAAAAACATACCTGAAAGTGAAAACTAAAAATATTTTAATTTCAAAAACCCTTCTGTGGTAGACAGAATAATTACTTACCAAATATATCCACATCCTAATTTCTGGAGTCTGTGAATATGTTAACTTACATGGCAAAGAAGTTCTTGCAGATGCGATTAAGGTCCTTGAGATGGGAAGATAATCTGGACTATCTGAGTGGTCCCAATCTAATCACAAGGGCCCTTAAAATCAGAGAACTGCTCAGACTGTGGCCAGAGAAAGAGATATGATGACGGAAGAATGGTCAGAGAGGTACAACTTTGCTGGCTTTGCAGATGGACGAAGGAGCTATGTGAATGGCCTCTAGAAGCTGGAAAAGGAAAGGAACTACTGTGTATTCTCCCCTAGATATGTAGACTTTCTCCCCTGCTAACACCTAGATTTTAGCCCAGTGAGACCCATGTTGGACTTCTGATCTACAGAATTATAAAGTAATCAATGTGTGTTGTTTTAAGTCACTAAGTTTGTGGCAATTCAAGATGCCTGTTGGGAAGAGTCTTCACTCTGCTCATGTGATGGTTAATACTGAGGGTCAACTTGATTGGATTGAAGGATACAAAGTATTAATTCTGGGTGTGTCTGTGTGGGTGTTGTCAAAAGAGATTAAGATTTGAGTCTGTGGGCTGGGGAAGACAGATTCATACTTAATCTGGTGGGCACAATCTAATCAGCTTCCAGCGACTATAAAGCAGGCAGAAAAATGTGAAAACGAGCGAGACTGGCCTAGCCTCCCAGCCTACATCTTCTCCCATGCTGAATACTTCCTGCCCTCAAACATTGGACTCTGAGTTCTTCAGTTTTGGAACTCGGACTGATTCTCCTTGCTCCTCAGCTTTTTGACAGCCTATTGTGGGATGTTGTGATCGTGTAAGTTAATACTTAATAAACTTTATATGTATCTGTATATGTCTGTGTGTGTGTGTGTGTATATATATATACTATTAGTTATTAACTTACATGATCTGTCATATAAGATCTGTCCCTCTAGGAGTACCTTAACACAGGTCATTTCTTAGCCTGTATGATAAGAGTCTCCCTCCTAGTAGAGTCCTTGTGAAGATGCTATTGCAGCCTCTCTTTGGAATGTCTTCACAATGACCTTATTTTCCCATGAAGCTGCCCCTTCTTGACTCACAGATGAATTCTTCACAGTCATGTTTGCCCTCTTGTCACAGTTGCTTTGAACAGAGGAGGTTACTTGGCCCAATGCGGGCTAATCAATCTCTTTCCCAGGACTTTGGATTTGGTGGAGGGGGTGTTAGTTTCAGCCTCTACACACAGTTCAAGCTTGAACTGAGATACCATAAACCAGGGCGCTGGGTGGTGGCTACAAGCAAGGCGACGTAACAATCCCTGAGGCAGATAGAGCAGAGCAGAGCAGGGAATCTAAGAGCCAAGATCGAGAGAGTGGGTGGGCTTGTTCCTGCTGGCAACAACATTTTTACTCCTACTAGGGCTCAGGTACCTTCTTGTCTCAGATTCCACAAGATAGCATTATTCCATTATGAAAACTATGCTATTTTCCCTTAACCAGGCTAAGAGGGTTTCTGTTACTTGCAAACAAAAGAGCCTTGACTAAGACACATACTGTGATGCGGGTGAATCAAGAGGATGGAAAAGAGACTATATTATTGTCATCTTGGGTCCTCATTCATGCCTCATTTCAAGGAGGCAAATAGAAATTCAGAAAATTTGAGTATCCAATAGGACAGGGAGCAATTTGTACGTCTTTGACTGTAGCTGGAGCTGCTGGTAGGCCTGCCTTTGTGGGAGTTAAGGTCCCTGGCCATATAATGCTTCTTTAGGCTCTGACTAAGGTATCTAATTCTCACGTTCAAAATTAATGTTAGCAGAGGAGTATTTTTAAATCAGAATTTTGCAATTCCAGCTGATCTTTCTTCAGCAAGCTTAAACATGCAAGTATAGCACCCCATTCAGCTTTCGTGCTTTTCAGTAGTTACTGAATTTTGAGAGTATATCTAGTGAATATTATGGTTTCTTGGAGGAGAGCTTGAAACCAGAAGTGATGGCTTTCCTAATTATCATTAACTTATAGAGTTTCTAAAGCAATCATAAAAACTATGTTATCCAACTCTTTAATTATATAGACAGGGAAATACGCTAAGTAATGTTAGGTGGCTCATTCTGTGGTCCTTCATTGGGTCCATTTGTGTATTTATATGAAGAATTCCCAAACTTAAAAATTTAGAGAATAGGCTATCAGTTAGAGAACACAGAAACCTTTGGACTAAAATATTTGTGTGAATACCACATATTTTTTATAATGCAGAGAAAATGTTTTTGCCTGTCTCTTTATGAATTGAAATTATTTCTGTAACCCTAAGTGTGCCCAAAGAAATATAATTTCTTTGAAATTGGATGTTATTAATAGGAAGTTAGATAACTGTGAAGATAAAGTATCCATGCACCCATTAATCTTTTTCTCCCTTCTTCCCTTCCTCCTTTTTTCCTTCCTCCTTCTCTCTCTCTTCTTACCTTCTTTTCTTCCTTCAAGTTATTATTCACTGAGTACCTACCATGTGCCTAACAATTGCTGAAAGCTGGAGATGCAATAGGAAATGATACACCCTCATGGAATCCTCCCCTTGTGGAGACTCTGCCTTCATGGTGCTTACATTTGAATTGGGAAGAATAGAAAATAGATATGTAAATAGATATATAAGATAATTATGGATAATAATGTGCTATGAAGAAAATAAAACATGGTAATGTGAGATAATAATGGGCTAGGGTGACACAGTATGTTTTCTTAGAGTAAGAAGGTGACATTTAGTTGATCCACTTATTCTACCCATCTATTATCTACATATTCTCTATATTCTGTGATTACATAAGGCAACACATGACTCTAACCCACAGAAAACAGTGATTAAGTCGCTTTCCCTCATGACAGAGTTCATGATTTTAAATCCAGTTTTCTTTCTGTTGCCTCTATTGCCACCTCAAAAGAGGATTGAATTGAAAACTTGTTCTCAAATAATTTGTATTCAACTTGGGGAG